AAATCAATTATTTTTAAAATTCCTTCCCCTAGGCCAAAAATTGTTTTTATAATTGTTGTTATTCCTATAATTATTGTTTTCCACTAGTTTTACCTTAGGAGGTCTCTCATTTTGTGAGTTTATACTCGTCCTATGTTTTTCTTCTACCCTAAGAGAGTTTATGGTTTGGGTCAAGGTGAACTCTCCTTGTTTATGCCTAAGAGTCCTAGCAAAATTATCCCATGAAGGTGGCAACCTATCAATTAAGTTCGAAACTTTAAAGCTTTCGTTAAAAAAAGTCTCATCCTTTTCTACTTTTCTCAAGAGCTCTTGATATTCATGAATTTGGTCTTCCACAGATTTATTATCCACCATTTTGTAACTATTAAAGTTGGAGACGGCAAACCTTTTAATCCCATCATCATCAATACCATATTCAACCTCTAATGTGTTCCAAAGTTCCTTAGCAGTTTTTGTAGTGTTTTGGTACACGTCATAAAGATGATTAGATAAGGCACTAAGTATTCTATTAAGGCAGTGATACTCCTTTTGTTCTTGAGTCAACCATGAGGATGTCTCTTTACCAGATTGATTTTCCCCTAAGACAGATACTAGACCTAACACAGTTAACCAATAACGCATTTATTTTTGTCACCTACGAAAATTTTGACCATTGAACTTTTTGGGTCTCACACTGTTGGCTTCATCTAAATATCCCATTTCAAAATTTTGGTATAGGGCAAAGAGAAATATTAGATTATCCTGTAAGAAAAAAAAATTCAAATTCAAATGCCACTTTGAGTTTTATTTCGTCTAATAAATGCTATAAATGATTCTTTGAACAAAGAATAAACTTCACTTTCTAAAACAATTAAGCCTTGTATAAAATGTAACTAACAGAAAGGAAAAGAATCTAACTAAATCTTCCAGAATGTAAGAAAAATGAATACCGTGAGTTGCTTTAGAATGTAACAGCACAGGAACAAAAACCAAAGCCTAAAAGTGATAAGCAATTAAACTATATTAAATAAATAAACCTAACACATATAATTTGATAATTAAATTAAATAATGTATAAAATTTGTAAAACAATAACAATTTGGCAAACTAGTTTTGACAGTAGCCAATCATATATTGTGAATGCATATAATATAACTTTTGACACATGTATCAAATTAAAATTAATAATTCAACAAATGCAATTGAACACAATATAAAACAATGAAAAATAAATTAGAAAGATCTAGCCTTTGAGAGTCTGTGAGGCACGTTGGAACGTTGTCCTAAAACAACTGAGTCTCCCTACGTAAAGGTATTAGCAGACTGCAGCGACTCCAAGATACAACCGAGAATCAAAAGCAAGAACTCCCCTGGATTCATGTACATCGAAGAGTAGGGATGAATCTGACTTTACTCGAGTTGCCCGAAAATTAATATAATCAAAATAATCAAGTGCAGTAGTAATCAAAAAAGAAAACTGAAGAAAAGGACGAACGAGAGATGGAAATGGAAGCGAGATGGAGATGGCAGATATATGGTTGTTGTCAGGTTTTCTCTATATATTAAATACTTCATTGACTTTGCTTTTATATAGGCAGATGCTTTCCCAATCGGTGGAAAGAAAAAAAAAAAGGCAGTTGAAAAATGTTGTTGAGAAGGAAGAGTACACAACGGTTTGACATGTCAAATTGGGTTGCAACTATTCAAATAAAACAAACTTAAATTCAAGTTTCAAAGTTTAACTGTCATATCTCATGAAGAATTCCTCCACATGTACATGGTATAAAATAATCCAAAACATTAAATATCTCTTAGGAAAAAGATGAAATATGCAATCATTTTTGCAAGAAAAAGAAAAAGGAAAAACTAAATTTATTCTAACATGTTCTTTGCTAACATCATCTAGTCCCTCCAAACTATTCCATCTTTTGATATCATACAAACTGCAATTGTTGTTTTGCGGTAGCATTAGTATCCAAATGTCACCTAAGTTGAGCACCTCATCAAAGAGTGATAATAAATGGAATTATGGGTGCTTGCTTAAGGGATGCCCTATGCAAAAGAAGTCCACCCAATCATCGAGATGTTATGAGATCTTGGTAACTGCTATAGTGTGGATTGAATACAGTCGTTCTTGACAAACAAGGGACATCCTTCGGCCGAGTTGGGTTTTTCTTCGTTGTTATGCTGTTGCCTAGTTGATCTATGGATAGCATTGAAATTTCAAGAACTTCCGCTCTTTAGCATTTGTAGTCACCGAAGCATTTTCCTTCTTTACTTATGCCTCTAGTTTGAATATAGAGTTTCTTTATTTTGTCTTCCTTTCATCTCTGAGATTTCATGTACACATGCAGTGTGGACTGGGTGATGCTTTCCGGTGCAGTGCACATCCACACAAGCCATTTAAACTGGGTGAGAAGGTATGTACTGAGATAAGGCTCTCTCTCTCTCTCTCTCTCTCTCTCTAGGGTAATTGCATAGTATAGTGGTAAAAATTAGCAACAAAATTGAGGATTTCTAAGTGTAGTCACTTTGCACGAATATTGCCAAAGGTCGACCTCACCAAAAAATCGAAGAAGTTCCTTTAAATGGAGAAAGTGGGTTGTACACCCATACTTATCCTTCTGACTTTGATCTGTAGTATCTGAGGGTTATACTCAAATGACAATGACAATTGGAAGTAAATTTACTTATTTATTGTATGTTATTTTTTTTGCAGGTTACTTTACCTGGGAATTTTTGGCGGCTGATGTCTAAATACCAACAATCAAGCTGGATGTAATGTCATTATTTTTTATGTTTTGGATACCACAGGATTAGTAGGTTCATCAACTGTAAGTCTTTGTTTCAAGATTTTGGGTGTAGTTTTGTCTCTGCCTACATGATGAGTAGTCCATTGTATGCTCATTGCGTCTGACGAGAGGAAAAATTTTGATTGTGTTTTTACTGAACCTTTCAAGTAGCCGAAAGCAATTATAGGGAAGAAATGATTTGGTGGCAGACCAATATTGTTAGTGGCTAGATAAGTAAGATGCATCTTTTTTCCAGTGTGGTATACGGGTCCAGTATTTTCACTCCCAGTTAAACCATGCCGGCAGGTATACTACCTTTAAAAAAGTTCCAGAAAGTAACACCTAAGCTATGACACGAACATAATATTTGATTAGCTAGAATAAGCTAGAATTTAGGCGGATATTATGGTCGGAAGTAGTGCTCTTAGAAGATCAGATGATGTTGTATAAAAATGCAATATAAATAGGGCAGAAGTTCCATGGCACAATTTTGTAGCATAATAATGTTCTGACCATAAATCCTTGTACTTTGGGGCTGTAATATAGTTCAATTTCTGATAAGAAACCATTGTGGATTTTGTTGCAAGTGCACCCTAATACCGAATGAGTGGCCAAGTCTAGTTCTCATCGACACCCTATCAACGCAAAGCTCGATCGACCACCATTTGAAGCCATGTAAGTAGGGACGGAGCATAGTTGTTGCCTAGGGGAGCCATGACTTACCCGGGGGTTCTAAAAAGCCTTGCTTTGCTCTTTCCTTGCTCATAATCATAGCCACCACAATCTGAACATAATTCACCACCCAACATCTTTTAAAAACCTGAAATCACCCCCCCAAAACACATCACCATTTATCATCTCCGTCGCTGTCCACCATCTAGGTCCACCTCATAAACAACCCACATCAGGTGGTGCACAAAGATGGTGTTCATATCATTATCGTTCAATTTTACTCAAAGAACTAAAATAAAAATCACTGTCTCCAGTTTTGAGAGTGATCCATGCCACTTACTGATGGGCCCTTCCTGCAATTAACAACACATAAATGTTGTATTGATTTTTTGTAAAACTAAATTGATACAATGTCTTTTTGAAGAGACTGAGATTCGGTGGTTGCTTAAAGAAGACAGAATCCGTAAATGGCTGAACGAAGAAAAAATAAAACAAACGTTGTTGAAGTTTTTGAAACCAAAATCGATACAGTGTCTACTTGGAGAGGATGAAATTCGGTGGCTGCTTAAAGAAAATAGAACCCGTAAATGGGTCAATGGAGAAAAAAAAAACTTTGACGAGCTAGAATATTAATGGAATCGTTTCAAAATTCAAAAGATTAATTATCCATTAATTTAAGAAACCACTTATCTAATAAAACAGAATCAAAAACAAGTATCATTGTTGTTATTGTTTTCTTTTTGTGTTGTTGCCTATGTGTAACTACAAAGAGTAACATCAAAAAAAACACAATCCAAAAAAAAGTCACACCAAAAAGTGAATTCAAAAAGTGACGTTATAGCTTTGTAGTGACCAAGCTATGCAATTAGTTTATCACTCTATGGTATCTCTCTATGAACACAATCCAATGTATGTTATAGTCTGTATTGGCCAAGCAATGAAATCAATTTGTTACTCTTTGGTGTCTCTCTATAAACACAATCCAATGTCTATTATAGTATGTACTGGTCAAGCAATGAAATCACTTTGTTACTCAATGATGTCTCTTTATGAACACAATTCAATGTTTGTTATAGTCCATAGTGGTCAAACCATAAAATTAGGTTGTCACTCTATGATGTCTCTATATGAATAGCAAGCCATTGTTTGTGTTGCATGTAGTGCACAAGTAGTGAAATCAAATTGTCTTTCTCGAGTCTCTCTATGGACACAAGTCAATGTTTTTTGTACTTTGTAGTGGCCAAGTCATGCAATTAGTTTGCACTCTATAGTGTCTCTCTATTTGCACAATTCAATGTTTGTCGTAATATATAATGGTCAAGTTATGAAATTAATTTGTCACTCTATGATGTCACAACTACAATTTTATTTTGTTTAATAAAATCTCGTTATAACAAGGCAGATTTTATTAATAAAATAAAAATAACATGAAACTAGGGGGACAATGAACCTTACCACTTTATGTAATCTAATACAATTAATAATTGATCAATGAAAGAATACTTAAACATTGCATAAAAAATTAAAAAAAAAAAAACAAAATGCCCAACAAAGTCCTTAAACCATCCAAATTCTGCCACCACCTTTAGAGATCCCTCCAATGAAATTTCCCCATTTGGTTGAAAATTCCTTGATAATCCCACANTGTCTCCAGTTTTGAGAGTGATCCATGCCACTTACTGATGGGCCCTTCCTGCAATTAACAACACATAAATGTTGTATTGATTTTTTGTAAAACTAAATTGATACAATGTCTTTTTGAAGAGACTGAGATTCGGTGGTTGCTTAAAGAAGACAGAATCCNTGGTAAAGAATCCTTTTTTTTTTTGCCTAAAAAACTGTGAGGAATGCTACAAAAGTCAAATAAAATTCAAAAAGTTATATCCCAAATACATATAATATCTTGGATGAGTGAGTCCCAATAAATTTTTCAGTGGGATCCACTCATTTAAGGAATAATATACATTTAAATTCAATCTGCTTAGGATACGAGAAATCCTCGTCCAAATATGCCACAACTTCCAATTAAACTCCAGAACACCATTTGTCATCTCTACCAAAATCTTGGAGTCCAATTCTATAGAAATTTTGTAGTCATTTAATGCAAAATCCTGTAAAAGCTAGAGTCTATCATATAACTCCAAAAAAATCAGCCTCCACATTTAGGGGTGTTAATTGAGACGAATTACTCGGGCTCGACTTGGATTCAGTTCATACTTGGTTCAGATAAAACTCAGCTCGAGCTTGAGCTCGTGTTCTAACGAACTGAATTTTGAAAATTTTTCAAACTCATTTATAAAAATGAGTAAAAGATTCGGCTCAAGTTCGTAAAGTTCGGCTCGTTTATATGTAAAATAATCAAGTTACTCGGACTTGGCTTGGGTTAAACTCGGGCTTGGCTCAAGTTCTAAACAAGTCCGAACTTGAACAATTTTTTAGGTTCGTTTAAAAAACAAGCTCGATAAGTTTGGGCTTAAACTCGCAAAGTTTGGCTCGATTAAGACCCCTATCTATATTAATAGATTCTTCATAGTAATTAGAGCCTGCAATAATTATCTGTGATTCAAAATTCCAAAGCAAAAATCGACGACCAAATTCACTGTGATTTTAGTTGTCGTTTTCTCTGGAAGAGTTGTTTTTTTTTTCGATTGGTTTCTAAACCGATGTTTTATACCAATTAATCTTAAGTTTAAGAGTATGATAGTCATTCAAACTCGAAATAAATTTTTACACAAAATATTTTTCAAAATGGACTTCCATTCCAATAATTTATGTGTACCAACAGCAAAATTTCCCTTTATTTTTTTACTTTACTGTGAAGTCAGTCAAATTTGTGTTCATATTTGTGATCAGCTCAGTTAAAGAATATAACACCAATTAAATGGGTTGGCAACGAAGATTAATGCTCCGTTTGGAACAATGAAAAAATAGAAAGTTGAAAAGATAAAAATTTAGAAGGATAAATAAAACATCATGTTTGATAAAGAAAGAAAATAAGAACGATGAAAAAATAGATGGATTAACTTTCCTTCAAACTCACAAAAATTAACCTCTCCAAAATTAGGAGAAAAGTGGATAAAAAATTAATTATGTGAAAAATGTATATTATTTATCTATATATCATTTGATATATACATATATGATATTTATTTTGTCATCCTTTTATTTTTTTTATTAATACCAAATAAAAAAAATTAATAATTTTTACTTTCCAACAATCATACCAAACAACAAAAAAAAAAGTGTATCATTTATACTTTCTTTCTTTAGAGGATAAAAAAAGTATCGTTCATATTTTTCATTTCTCATATTTTCTATTAGTATAAATGGTCCTTGATTCTCTAGAGCTTTTTAAGAGACGAGTCCTTTGGCAAGTATTGATTTCTAATGTTCCTTCTTTTGATGTTTTAGTAAGCTCTACTTTTAGGCGTCTTTTCACCCTTATACGAGTGTCTTTTTCTTTGCTATAGATGCCTTGTTCTAGAAATATTAATTACATTTACATTAAAAATGTAAAACAGAATATATTTTTTCCCAACCATATCATTCAAATACCAAATGCAAAACTTAAAAGAGTATCTAGCAAAAGAGGTTCCAATATACTTTTCCTTTCTCCAGGTAGATGAGGTAGAATCGCTTGAAAATAGTTACTAGCAAGGTACTCACCAAAAGAAGGAGAAGGAACAACATTGGTTAACGGAGCATGACCTCTACATCACGTGTTTCTAAAGCAGGCATCTTCGAAGAGAACTCTTTCACATCGGACATCACATGAATTTGCACTTCAACAACCAGACTATCTAGAAATACAAAACCCTTCGGTTTGTCATGCAGATCGTGAAGAGAAATTAGATCGAATAAGCCCCAGCCTTCACTTAGGTCACAGAACCAAAAATCACCTGTGATAGAATAATTACGAGGAAATTCTAGACGACGTGAACAAGCTAATTTTAAAAGGAAAATAGTGACAAACCAGTTTCCCAGTCTCTGTAAAAAGCACATATGTTAAAGATGGAGGGCAAGTGTTCACCTTTCATTTTGCAGTGTTTGTCATGGACTTGGTCTTTTACCAAGATGCTAAATTCCACATACAATTTTACCTTGGTTGGAAGGGATCCGCAATTATCTAACCATAGAAAGACAGATAAGCTATTGCCCTTTCCACTGCCATGTCCTTTGGGATAAACAACTATCTTCCTAGATCAATAAAGAAAGGAACATATAAGAAACAATTCCATCTGGTTATGGTACATAGAGAATAAGAATTGAGGAACTCCAAGGGCTCAAACCATTTGTGCTTTCCAATGGTGAAAGGTTCAGAGAACAAACGCTCCTCTTTTATTTCTGAAAATTTTTTGATCTCCCAAGAGTAACTATTGTCGTAAGTTTCCTCCTTCAAAGAAAGACACTCTCCTTTACTAGTAGATTTAATGACATAAACCTCAGCTCCAAACACACAGGAGTCATCAATAAGGTATCCGTTAGAAGCATCTTTGAAAGTGTCAAGGGAAAGTAATTTGGCAAAACCAAACTCCCTCTTAAACTCGTGGAAATGTCTTAAACCTGTGGAAAGTAATTTGCGCCGGTTATGCAAAGAAAAAATTTAAGTTATACTTTCTGACCACTTAAACAAACTTATTATTACTACGAGTGTAAGAATGTGCATTTTGAGAAATCTTACTTTGGAGGGTCAAGTACTTGTCTCGGATACGATAATACACAAACAATTCGAATTTGACATTAACCTCCCAACCAAGAGGATATGGATCTGCCTCTGATATTGCCAAGTAGAGAGAGATATGCCCTTTCCCCTTTTCCTTCTCGTATCCATGCGGATATAGACACAATTTCCTGCAAACAAGGCAAAGCACACAATGAGAAAACTTATCTTGGATTTTAAAAAACAAGAAGACTGCCCGCAAGTGAGAAGAAAGGATTTTTATTTCAACTCACCATTTGTAACCACCAGATTCAAAGTCACTCGATTCAAATCTTTTCTCTTTTGCCTTGGAAAGCAGTGAGAACAATTTGATTTGAAATAGGTAATCACTTGGTGGAACCTCTCTCAGTGTCCTCGAAATTTCTGCACATACCCAAAAGGGTTCATACTTTGCTACATTCACTGTTTTATATAGAAACTTGATTGCAGATAATATATTCTTAAAAAATTCTGAAAAATACAAAGAAAGAGAAAAACAGAAAAAAAAAAAGGTATGAAATGAATTTATATCATAGGTTCCTCTTGTGTCTTGATGAATAATAAATACTTTACGCAAATTTAAAATAAACCGTTCAGACCAACGTTACATGGATCGTGTGTCGATTGAGTACATGGTACACTACTTGTTCTAATACACGGTACAGTGGGAGTAGCCTTAGTTGGTAACATATTTTGAGTCATGGTTCGTTTTGTAACATTTATATAGAATAATATATTGATATACACGTAGTTAATAAATATTTATTTTAAAGGACACCAAAATAAAGAAATAACGAGTTAGAATTATGATTTAGGGTTCGAGTTATGATGTGGATTACTTATATCATGAATCAATTTACAGTTAAATTTATAATTTTGGATCAGGATTTTGAGTAATCTGAATTGCGTACATACCTTATTTCGATTCGTGCCAACTTGGTTCATGGGACACTAAGGATATCTACGATACCAGTATATATGGTTTAGAGACCTCTAATACAATGCTCTGACTTCAACATCTAGATATTTTGTTTCAAACGCTTAAAAAACACATAAGCACCCAGAGGGAGACAATGATTACCAACTGTACCATTATTGATAGGGAAAGGATAGATAGACTTCTCGTCCATGATTGTCGTCTTATGTTTATGAAGAACGAGGTCTTCTTCTACTCGATATTTGATGTGAGTGATTGGATTGCCTGCTTGGTTCCCTGTTGAGGAATATTGAGATGCTATATATGTATATATATAAATACATATTAGGTATTGTCTTCTGCAATATGAGATTTAATAAGGCAATCTCACAGACGAGCAAAGTACCAATAAAATCAGAGGCGAATGAACTGAGAATCAAAGTCCTAGCTCACAAAACTCATTTTTCACTCACAAATGAGATTTAATCGCATTTTAAAATGTGAAAGACTAATCTATAGAAGATTATCTATATATAAAGCCAGTTTTTATGAAAAAATGAGATTGATATCTACCAAACAAAGAAGTATAGTCATAAATTTTCTGTGTCTCGCTCAGCATATTAAGGAAACCTGAGATGTCACCTGCAAAATACACATACAAAAATAATTGACAACATGGGAAATATATGTCGATTTAAAAAAAAAAAAAAAACCCAAACAAACAGAGATACAGTGTGCGGAAATAGATATGTGCTCGCATTCACATAAATATAGACAAAAAGGACTATAATATGACAAAATTGTGAAAAAAAACAGAAACATTAAAATAGTAAAATGTCAATAGTTATCATAAAATAGCCCAAAATAAAGCAGAAAAAAAAAAATTCCAACCACAACATTTCTAGTTTACTATATCTTCAATTACACATTTTTTATTATCAAAAACATCACTGACACTCCCTTATTGAACTGATTAAAATTCATTTTTCTATATATTAAAATTTAAGTTGATTAAAATATAATTCAAGCTGATTAAATTTTATTTTTTACGTATTAAAATTCAAATCTATTAAAATTCTTTTTTTAGGAATTAAAATTCGAGTCTATTTCAGCTACACTAGTGTTGTTAGCGTCAATTAAAATTTATATTTTTTATTATTAAAATTCATAAAATTAAAAATTCGATTCAAGTTGATTAAAATTTATTTTTTATGTATTAAAATTTGAATCGATTAAAATTTATATTTTTTTATGTATCAAAATTCAGACTGATTAAAATTCTACACGAGTTGATTAAAATTTAATTTGAGCCGATTAAAAATGATTAATTTTTAATTGACCCAAATTTTAATACGTAAAAATAAATTTTAATTAACTCGAATCAAATTTTAATACTTAAAAAAAATTTAAAAATAAAGGGGGTTTTTCTCAAATATATCACGGACAATTTAGCAAAATTGTATTCTAACTAACAATCTTTAATCTGACAGGAGTGTCAGTGAAAATTCAAAAAATAGAGGGAGCGTCGTTACAAATACGAAAAACTAGAAGGAGTGCGAGTGAAATTTTCCCCAAAAAAAAACGCACCATGAGATACTGAACCTAGCTTCTCTCTTAACAATAAAGACACAAACACTTTATTCTCTCTCTAAACGCACTGTCTCCTCGTATCTCCTTTTATATACTATCGGTAATACATATGTATGTATATATTAGAGAAGTGAGACGAAAATAAGAAAGTAATCTTTGACCGAACAGAGAGTATCTGATAGTCTGGAACTTTTAGTCACCCAAAATCACGGAGGTTCGCCTGAGAAAGAAGGAGTTCTTAAGTGAAGTTCACACCCCAATTTTTTTTTCTCTTTTTCCTTTTTTTTTANGGTTCGCCTGAGAAAGGAGTTCTTAAGTGAAGTTCACACCCCAATTTTTTTTTCTCTTTTTTCTTTTTTTTTTAAAAAAATAACTGAACCTGATTGAGGAATAAGACAATACATAACTCATAATAACTTTTCCTATGTTATTATTAACATATTCAGCATACAATTACATAAAGATAATATTTTTTTTTTTGATAACAAAAAAGCATACTATCTATATTCCACAACATCCATTAGATTGCAAGAAACACTAGTTTCATAGTTCATCTTCCTTTAAACAACATAAGGTTGATACTCAGCACACATCTAGGAACAACCATTATTTAGTGCTGCTTCCCATGTCTAATCTCGGAAATTATCACATCATTCAAATAACCAGAATATTCTTAGAAGTCTTTCGGTTCATGAGCTTCCACATCCCGCTTAATTCTCAGGCTTCATATCACTAATGGTTTTGGAAATAATTGTAGTCACTGCTTTTCCACCTGGGATCCCTTTGACGCCTTCATGCACGGCATAATCGGCTGCGTTTTTACCTAACTTAATGACAAACAGGGCGATGTTAGCCCGGGCTTCATCATTGGGCATGTACTTTTTCACCGTTGAGTTGATGAAGTCCCAAATTACCATCTCACTCTCTCTCTCTCTCTCCCTCTCTCTTGAGTCAATCTGACATAAAGGTAATATCAACTAAAAAGTTGTTAGAGACAATATAAATATAAAGAGAAATAATAAAAGGGATTTTTATCCACCGTTTTTTCTGCTTATCTTCCTGTGTGTGATTTCATATTTATGAGAAATGTCACGTAGGGATGAGCTCACTAGTACAGTAAGGTAGCGTGCATCAATGACTATCAAGATTTTAAAGTAATACATAAATATAATTAAATAACAAGTGAATGCAGGGATATGTCAAAATAATAAATCAAATAAATAAATAAATAAAATATTGCACATATTGATCATATCAATTCGGCAATTTTTTAGGTCCACACATGAACCGTCTCTAAAAAAAACTTTGGGGTCTTACAACTTAATGAACTCAATGCCCGTCTTGATTTTCTGGGAACACTAATACCAGAATTTTTGTGGCACCACACAAGCCACCAACAACAACCGATATTACTAACCAGTAAATTTAAGAACTAGTAAAAATTTTGTGAATCCTCGTAAGGATTATGCGTTTACAAACCCCCGTCCGGCCATCTAAAATATGCATCCATGATAATTTTGTCAAAATCATAAAGTAGAGTCATATTATATTCAGACTCAACAACACGTAGAAAATTAAACACTAAATAAATAATCAAAAAGAAAAAAAATATATTTTATATGTCACTTGGTTTCACAAAATGATTAAGGTCCCGATATATAAAAAAAAAAATATAACATGTGAATGACCGTTATTTATTTATAAAACTCAAGTTCGACTTCATGATTAAAGTGATATAATATTACATCATATAATTAAAATAGATTTAATATGAAACCCCCAAACATGCATGAGATGCATCAATGACAGTAAAAGATAAAAAAAAATCTACTTTTTACGTAACATTTACTCAATATCGTATACTATGACAAAACAATTGAAATAATATTTTAGAATAAAAATAAGTAAGAAGTATTTAGTTAAACAACAATAATATTTAGAATAACTAAAGAAAAATAATAATACTTAAATTTGATCTAAAAATATTTAACAAGGATCAAATTTAAGTGATTAAACCTATAAAATCAATAGATAATAACTCAAAAGATCTTACCTAAAATTTTGATAGTAAAAATGAACTCCAAGATGAACAAAATGTTGACCCTTTTCTTGTTTTTCTCTCTTCCTTCCCCTCTCTTTTTCTTCTCTTTGCTGTTTTGTTCGAAGGGCCAAAGGCAGGCTATATTTATAGTGAAAGCCTTAGCTTCCAACGTCAGTTTCAATTACGTGATATGGACAGTTGTCCATTTGTTTAGCAAATGTCTTATTTTTTTTATTTTTTTTTTTTGCACTTTTTAAATTTTTGCAGCTCATGTTATAGGACACTTATCCCCTAGAGTCTAAACGTAACACACACACACATATATGTTTATAGATATATCCACTCATCATACTATTATAAAATTTTATTTAAATTATAGTTATTTGACTCGTTTTCACGTGAATAATCTATATTTGAAGTCCATATGTTCATTTTAATTAATTAATTAATTTATGTATCCTTTGAATTTAATTAATTAATTATTTTGTTTTAGAATCATAATTAATGATCTAATTAACATGTTAATAATTAATTATTGTTATTATTTTTTTTAATACGGGTCGTCATAAAGTCGCCGGAGCATGGAGACAGAGAGAGATGGGGAAAAACGTGACCAGAGGAGTGAGAATATGCGTGAGTAAGAAGCAAAAAATGTACCCCTGCCGCTTTATAGTGGGTCAGTGATAAAAGGGGCTCCGGACTCCAAATGTTTATTCACTGCAGTGAATTTTGGGGGAACCCAAAAAGGGATTAAAAAAAGAAGTATAACACTTAGATTTTTAATATATAAAATATTATATACAAACCCTCTAAAATTTGTACACACGTAACACTTAGACCTCTGTCATTAATGTCTGTTAGAATATCTATTAGTAAATTATATTTAGACCTTCTGAATTTTATATGCGTATAATATTTAGACAAGTTTAAAATGTTATGTTATTTATTGATATAAAATTAAAAATAAAAAAATATTTTTTATTTGAAAAAATCATAATTAATATACAACTATATTTTTTATTGAAATAAAACTAAAAAAATAAACAACTGGTCAAACAGTAATTGACATAATATCTTATATCTTTAAATGGGGTAGTTTGATCGTTTAATAGATAGTATAATTATATATTAGTTATAATTTTTTAAAGAAAAAATTAGATTTTTAATTTTATTTTTATTTTAATAAAAGACATAATAGAACATGAATTTTGGTTATAAAATTTAAAATATTTGATATTCTATCTTTGATTGGATTATTTTTAATCTAAGTATAACATTTTAAACTTAATGAATCAAAGTATTACAAGCCTATAAACTTTAGGAGGCCTGATTATGATTTAGTAACGGATATTCTAACGAATATTGACGGTAGAAGTTTAAGTGTTGCGCGTATAAATTTTATAATATTTCAAATATTAAGAATCTAAGTGATTACGTGAAAAATTTCAGAGGGTCTGAATGTAATTCTCGCTTAAAAAAATAGGCAATGGTATTATGAACTTTTTTTAAAAAAATTGCTTTTTTCTTTTTTGCGTTTTTGCTTTTTGGCTTTTTAAAGCAAAAAATTAAAAAAAAATTTAAAAGTAGCGTTTATTTTTCAGCAAAAAAAAAAAAACTTTTAAAAAGCAAAATAAAAAGAATAATATTTTTTCGAAAAACAAAAAAAAATTACTTTTTCAAAGCAAATAACATATTTTACATAAAAAATATAAATACACGTCAATCCACCAAAAACACACACTCAATCCACCAAAAACATACACTCACACATGAGTACACTAATACACCAAAATATACACATACACACACTAATACACCAAAATATAAATATATACTAATACACCAAAACATACATGCACACACACGCACTCTCTCTCTCTATTCTATACTACTATAAATTGTCAATAAAAATGAAAAAATTTTGATCGACAACAATAACCCTACTAAAAAAATTAATATCACTCATATCCTTTCTAACATTAATTCAAATTAAATACATACAAATTAACTAAAAGATAATTTTAGTTAATTAACCCTAATGCATTTGGACTCTTAGCCTCCCATAATATACACCTTTCTTTCTACACCTCATTATACTGGACACTTAATCATTCAGTGGGTAGGGTCGTGAAGTTTTTAATACGTCACAATATCTTTACATATAGGAGAATAATTATTTTCATTCATAGAATTAATGGCCATAAAAATTACAACGAGCCATATATTGACGACATAATTTCTTAGCATAAAAGCCAAACCTTCCATCTTCATAGCATCCATTCACTTCCCCTTTACTTAACTCTCAATCATTTACCATAAAATCCTTCATTTTCTGTCTTATTGTTTGGTTCTCATGTATCTATTAGGTCCACTAATTTGCATTTGTTGTAGCTTTACTCATATACCAATGTACTTTTGATCCAATAGTATTCCTTATATTGTGAAGACTTTATTTTCTTAAGGTTAAGGGTTCAAGTTCTCCTTCAAAAAAAAAAAAAAAGTTTCAGCTTTACTCATAAACTCCTCATATTTTATTATATTCATAATATTATAGAACATTTTTTCCACATCACTATTTAGTGGATGAGTGTAGGATTACAGTTTTTTTGTGTTACTCAATTGAACAATAGTTTCATTGGAATTTAGTAATGTCATAGATTGATTGTTTAAATGTGTCTCAATATTTCTTGATCTTTTTTTAATTGCCTATCTAGATAGTTTGTAATTTAGGTAAAAATAATTATGTAATCTTTATTATTTGTTTACGTCAATTAAAATGACAAGACAAAAAAAAAACACTTATTTGTTTTTGGCTCTTTCCTTGTTTCCCTAAACACTCTATGAAAAATGTTAATATGTTTTTTCATGTATACCTTGATTTATCATTATATCTTCTAATCGTGAATAATGAGTCTATATAATTAAAGCTAGAAATATAAATCCGAGTTATTATTAAAATTGATTCACGTGTAACGCACGTGTGTACATCTATAATTTACATATATATCTTTTAATATATGTACATCTATAATTTGTTTTATTCTTTTATTTTTGATCTTATCAAACACAAAAGAATCAATACTTTCTATTTTTCTATTCCTCCAATTAAACACAAAGGAGTAATAAAAAAATGTATTACTTTTACTCTCAATTTTTCCATTTTTTCATCCATTCCATTCTACTAAACAGAATAGTTTGAGAGATTGGAAAGGTTCTTTTGATGTTAGGATTGATATTAGGGTAATTTTGAAGTCGGTACAAAAATTTAGACTTATTTGAGCCAAACTACATTAAAAAAACTTATTTGGGTCTAAATGCATTTTTTTTAAAAAAAAAGACTAAAAAGTCATTATTACTCCATTACTCTCTCTCTCTCTCTCAATTACTCTCTCTTCCTTAATTTCTCTCTATCTATTTATCTCACATTGATAATTTATTTATTTATAAATATGTAAAAATTTGATTTAATTTTTTCATCTCTCTCCCCTATTTTTTTTCTCTCTCTCTCACTCTCTCTCCCCTTATTTCCTTATTCTCTCTCTCCTTATATCAACGTTACAACAACACAATTATTCTAATCAGTTACACCAATTAATTATAATTATCATATAATACACCAAACAGTTATTCATGCGTTCTAATACTTCAAACAGTTACACTAAACAATTCTATGAAATTACAATACCAACTCAAATTTTTATTCAGTTTTTTATATAAATCAAAGAATTACATCATTTAGTATTACGACATGATTACACCAATTATATATACCAAATTGTTTTTATCATTACACAAAAGGTTTCACCATTATACTAAATTTGATATATATAATTG